AGTGTCACCTCGCCGTGAATTGTTCCCTCGGAGTGCAAACTATGGACCCGACCCGACCCTTTGGGTGCCAAGCGACACCTGGTCGCGTCCCAGCCCCGCCAGCCACCTGGGCAGAAGCCTTTGAGAAGGGCCCTCTCTCCAGGACGGAAGGTCCGAGCAGAACAAAGATCGCTCTGGGCAGAAGAGGAGGCGAGGCGCAGCAGGAAATTCAACCTGTTGCACAATTTCTTGCCCCGCAATGAGGCAACGCTTCGAACCCTCGGCCCGGTTTTCCCCGCTAGGATCTGGATGGAAGCAAGAGCGAGAAGTTCTCTTTCGGAGGCCTGGGCTGCCCAATTCTGTCGGCTGCCAGCGAAGCTCAGAGGTGCCTGGTTTTGTGACACCACCTTTTTTTGGGGGGTGGGATGGAAAGCACACTAGAAGCAGGAAGGGAAGGTTTTTTGGGGGGGGACGGAACCTGGATTTGGGCAAGGCTTTTGGTACTAGAAGAGTCCACAGGAAAATGAAATCTCTCCTGCCTGCATGAAAGGCCTCACCCGGTAGGTAGAAAGCGAAGCTTTGGAAATGACAAGACTGCCTCTGAGCGTGCAAAAAAAGTGGAGACAGAGTGTGACGGACAGGTCAGTAACCACTCCTGTCCATCACAATGGAACCCTGATTCAGGAGCCAATAGTTGTACAGAAAAGGCGAGACTAAGGAAATATAAGAAGAATGGAAGGCAGTTAAAGATCAGTTAGAGAGGATTTCAGTTCGGTAGCAGTTAGGGATGAGTTAGGGATGAGAGTTAGAGTTAAGGACTTCAGTTTGAGAGAAGCAGTTTAGGCAGTTAGGACCAGTCTTGTGTTAGAGAAGAGTAACAGAGAGATAGGGAATAAGAAAAGAAATGAATAAATACTTGGATTAACATGATTCTACATAAGCAAATATAAATGTTAGCAAAGCACAGTTGATTGAGTAAATGAAATAAGACCATCCATGATTTACTTGACATGATTTACTTATGAACACTTTAATAAATAATTAAATGAATAACATTGATTTAAGAGTCATTTTTGATGTAGTGAGGAGTGTCTCCTCTGGTAGCAGTGGAGCCATCCCTATCCATCATGCCGGCACGCTGGCTCAAAGTTGCTTGTAGGAGCCGAGGAGAAAGGGATGAGGCAGGAGCATAACCAGTTCCTGCAAGAGAAAAAGAGGGTGGCTTCAGGATGATGGCCGAACCCTGTCGGTGGAGGTCGGGAAGGGACGTTCCAGCCACATCTCACCCCTTTAGGAGAAGCTCCCTCCCTCCCTCGTGGCTGGAAAGGACACGGCCAGCCGGTGGGCAGAAACTCCGGATCCAGGAAAGGGTCAACTTGGCACAGAGGGAGTGCGTCCCGTCCTGGCCTCCTGTTCCCAAGATCTCCAGTTCCGATTTTAAGAGAAAACTAGTCTCGGGTGGCAAATCAGTGCCCGTGGAAAGTTTCCATTGTGGGATGGCAAAAAGCTAGGATTTGGGGGTTCTCCCCCTCAAAAGAAAGGAATGTTCCCAGGCTGTAAGGAAAGCTGGAAAGCAGGCAGGCCTGCCAGAATGCGGGAAGCATCCTTTTCCAAGCAGGAGACTGTGCCAGAGTGGGTTAAGTGGAGCTCTGAAACGGTCTTTAGAATTAAAAAATATATATCCCAAGAAAAACACTGTTTCGCCCTCTGTTTTTTACCCCCTTTGTTTGGCTCCTGGGCCTTCGCCACATCCTTTTCCAAGCAGGAGACTTGACACAGCCTGAAACTGAAACTGCAGACGGAGCTCAAACCACAAAGCACGTCCCCTTCGGAAACCAGCGTTAGCAGTCAGCTTCATTTCCCTTCCCCCCCCTTACAAGATGAGCTAATAATCTCAGAACGGAGACCTTATGGATGATCGGGTCCAGCCCCTGTCCAGGAGGCCCAGGGGTGGAATCGAACTCCCAACCTCTCTGGCTCTGTGGACAGATGCCTGAACCCCTGCGCTATCCAGCAGTGCCTCATAAGGGGCGGGGGGGGAATGAGTCTCCAGGCGCAGCCCTGTTGCTGAAGCTAAGCAGGTTCCGGGGTGGTTTAGACGTGGAGGGGTTCAAATCCCCGTAGGCCAATGAAACTCATTGTGGGGTGACACTGATCATTCAAAACTCTACTTGGGTCATTGCAAGTCAGAAATAACGGCACAGCACAGGAAACATGGGTCCCAAGAAGACAGTACATGCTTCCCCCCATCATAACAGCTTTGTCAGAAACCCCTCCAAAACCAGAGAAAGCCTAAAGCTCCCTTCTGTCTGTCTCAGGTCTCTCACGCCATGTTTTTCTTTTGAACAGGATCCCCCCCCCCAAAATGAATGCTTCACCCCCTGCAGGCACCTTCCACTGAGCCCTTTTTAAAAAATCCCTTCCGAGCATGCAAAACCAAAAAGACAAACGCGGAAAATTTCTGCAAATGTTTCTACTCCAACCTACAAAGGCCTGCATGCTACAAAAACCGAGGCTTGGGTGGCCAGAACCTCGAGGTAGAGACAAGAGGGAACACACAGGGAGTAAGAGCTGAGCAGCCGTGGGATGGGTTACTCCAAAAATGGCACACTGCCTTCGTGGAAGCTTTTAAAAACGGCTCGAAAAGGGTCACTGGGTAGCCCAGTTTTGCTTGTGTATTCTGACTAGATGATCTTTAAGCTCCCTTCCATCTCTGGAAGTCTCTGGCCCTCATAAATATATCCAGCTTCAGCAGGTCTCAAAAGAGCGAGAGAGAGAGCACCTTGTTCTCAAAGTGCCCGAGAATCTAGATTATTATCATAGGACAAGCACATTGCTTTTCTTTCCGTTCTTTGCTTCCGATTTCTTTAAAGCAAGCAAAGAAACAAAGAGTTTTGTTTCAGCTGGAAACTGGCTGAGGTTTGAAAAAGGACAAAAAGAACCAGCCGCGCTCCTAAACAATTCTGTCCAGCGTGGTGTGGATAAGGCAAGCGATGTCCTAAGGAAGCTCTCCAGGACTTCTCTCTCAAGGGGCTCGGCAACTCCGACTGGCCTTGAGGCTCTCTCTCTTTCTCTCTGATCTACCAGGACAGTCCATCCAGATGGCCTTAAGGTCTCAATCTGTCCAGAAGGGGGAAAAAGCGATGTCTCGGGTAACTGGGACCCATGTTCAGGGCTTAAAACCCCTGCTTTGTGCACCCATGTTTGCTGGTTTGGTTCCCAGCGCCTCCCACGAAAGGCGTTTGTATTTTCACGCCACGGGAGAGGCAGCGCCTGTCAAAACAAGCCATGCCAAGCTGCTTTTTAGCCCAGGGCAGTTTCATGGAAGTCTCTCTGCTCCTTTACAGCTCTCCATGACACAACCGTGCTGCAATTAAGGTACACCTTAATTGCATTAAGTCACACCTATATGCAAGACTCATTTGGGCTTCGGGGAAGATCCTGACCTTAAGACTGCACAGCCAGGAGATCTCCTGCCATCACAAACACAAGAGTGATCGAGGCCGGCTTTGATCTATGTGACCTGGCCTGGCCTGGGTTTGAGTTCTCAAAGCAGCAAAGTTGTTCAGCCCAAGACATTCTCTTGAAGTGGAAACAGGCTTCTGAAAGATAGTTTTGTTTTCGCTGGTACCATGACAGGCAAGGACCTCATGAATCTAGAAGTCGTAAGGGCTCCCTTCTGATGCTTCTCATGGCCAGCACCTCCAAAAAGACAGGCAGGGGCTCATTTAAAACAGAGAGAGGGAGAGAGAGAGAGAGAAAATGAGTGGGTGTTTTGTAGAGTGAATGGCTCTTAATAGCTTATACTTTGCAGCGCCACAGAGATAGCTGGCAACAATGATTCTGGGGGGCTTAATAGCTTATTCAGACCCAAACCACCCTCAAGATACTTTGCAGCGCCACGGAGATAGCTGGCAACAATGATTCTGGGGGGAAAAACCATTTCTCCCCTTGCTACCACAATTGTTGCTCAGCTCAGAGGAAATGGGGACACAGGGAAAGGGGGAGGGATGTAGCCAGAGGGTCTGCTAAACAGAGAGTCACAGAGCTTTGACCCTCCAAGCCACGGTTCCATTACACCACCGAGCAGAGGGAAAGCAAGAGCACGTTCCTTGTGCAACTCATTCCTGGTGCAATTTAGCTCTCAGCGTGGGCGGTTCCATACGTTTGGTGCCATGCAGTTTAAGTCCCCTGACCAAATCAGGGCGGGGGGGGGGAGGAGAGATTTATAAGCACCACAACACACCCATCGTGAGCACCTCCTGCTGTCTACCGTCACCAGTTGGATCACATACTTAGGTCTGATGACTTCCACCGAGGAGCTGGGATCGAAGTCCTCAACCCACTGTTCCGCCTTGCAACGCGTGAGCTTCCCTTACTGGCAATGGCCGCAGCCACGTACCCGAGAAGGGGAAGTCCTACCGAAGCCTGGATTTCTCGTGCTGGGGCCAAACTTTGCAAAGTCACCAATCAAGGATATGACGCGTGCATTAAATGAGGAAGGAAGGGGGTGGCGAGGGAGCTCTTAACAAGAATTCTCCAAGATGCAAAAGAGGGCATTGGGGTACAAAAAAAAATCAAAATAAACGCGTCTTCATGCCAAACCGAGTTGCAAAAGGAGCCGGAAGGCGTTCAAGCTTATTCCTGAAAAAATGGGGACAGAGAGAGAGAGAGAGGAGTTTAAGGGTCCCTCGGGTCTCTTCTGTGACATCACCTCGCCAGTTCAGCCCTCAGAAACGTTGAAGAAAGAAAAAAGAGAACCTAGAAATTTCCACAAAACCAACAAATATACAGATGGAAGCCATTTTAGAGAGAGACCCTCAGAGCAGTACCAACAAGGTAAAAGCTTTGAAGGAAAGGGAGACAAAACCCCATATAACGAACAAAGAAATTTAAAAAACTTGTTTTGGTTGTGGAAAACCAGATCATCTTAATTGTGAATTTGTTAAAAACAAAGAAATGGGACAACAGAAAGCAGTGGGAGTTGTACCTAAAAAGGTATACTCTATACAAAAAGCAGGATCTGAGGTAAAACAGCAGAGTGACAGTTTAACTGACAGAACAGTGACGCAGGAACAACTGCCTCCTCTAGCAGATAATGTCCACTGCTATTACATTAAAACCAACAGAGAATTGATGAAGTCAGCTGAAGAAAATATTTATATTAACAACATCAAGTATCTAGCTTTGAGAGACTCTTGTTCTCAGATAACTATATGCCATGCAGATATTATTCCACAGAAAGATATCATTACAAAGGAGAAAATTACAGTTAAAGGAATTGGGACAGAATTAATTAAGTTACCCATGGCTAAAGTACATATAAGGTATAAAGATTGGATTGGTAAATTTAAAGTAGCTGTTTCACATGAGATCTATACCCCTTGTTTAATTGGGTTAGACTTAATTAATTATATCAAAACTGATAGAATTACCACACACTCACAAACAGAAAAGATAGAAAATCTTTCTGGTAATAGTGAGGTTCCTGAGGAAGATATAAATGTCAGCCAATCACCTGAACTTGTAGGAAATGTAGATATAATGAAGCCTCAGAAAAAGAGTTTTAAATCAGAACAAGAAAATGATTTTTCTTTACAACAATCTTGTAATGCAGTAAAAGAAGAACCAGTAATTTCAAAATGAATAAATACTTGGATTAACATGATTCTACATAAGCAAATATAAATGTTACCAAAGCACAGTTGATTGATTAAATGAAATAAGACCATCCATGATTTATTTTACATGAACACTTTAATAAACATTGTTTAATTGAATAACATTGCTTCAAGAGTCATATTTGATGTAGTGAGGAGTGACTCTTCTGGTGGCAGTGGAAAAAGGGTTGAAAAATAAATTTCATACCCAAAAGTGAACCTGGGTTGTGTGGAAGAACACAGGGGAACAGGTTTGTGACACAGAGCTTAAGGGAAAAGGCGTGCTAAGTGTCAGGAACCGGGCTGTCCCTTCACTCGGTGGCACAAGGCGTCCAACATGGACAGAACAAACAGTGCCCGAATGATTCTCTGCAGGACAGAACAGGCGCGCATTTGGAGAGAATAGAAGAGCGACACAGGGGCCCAGACGTGGCACACGTTTTCCCAAAGGAACCACGTCTTCTTGAACGCGCAGGTTTGAAAAGAGGGGAATGAAAAAAAATCACGCCATAAAGTGATTTCCGTGCAGTCCAAAGGAAAGGCATGCGAAGACGCCAGCCCAGGGCGCTGCCCGGATGCCGGCATGCTCGCTCAAAGGCGCTTGTAGGAGCCAAGGAGAGCGTTGCAGTTCGGGCAAGAGTGGTCCACATCGAGGAGCGGGTCCACGCAGAAAGGGATGAGGCAGCAGCCTAACCAGCACCTGCAAGGGAAAAGAGGGTGGCTTCAGGATGATGGCCGAACCCTGTCGGTGGAGGTCGGGAAGGGACGTTCCAGCCATATCTCACCCCTTTAGGAGAAGCGCCCTCCCTCCCTCCCTCGTGGCTGGGAAGGACACGGCCAGCCGGTGGGCAGAAACTCCAGCTCCAGGAAAGGGTCAACTTGGCACAGAGGGAGCTGCGTCCCGTCCTGGCCTCCTGTTCCCAAGATCTCCAGTTCCGATTTTAGAAAGAAAACCAGTCTCAGGTGGCAAATTCGTTCCCCCTTGGAAAGTTTCCATTGTGGGATGGCAAAAAGCTAGGATTTGGGGGTTCTCCCCCTCAAAAGAAAGGAATGTTCCCAGGCTGTAAGGAAAGCTGGAAAGCAGGCAGGCCTGCCAGAATGCGGGAAGCATCCTTTTCCAAGCAGGAGACTGTGCCAGAGTGGGTTAAGTGGAGCTCTGAAACGGTCTTTAGAATTAAAAAATATATATCCCAAGAAAAACACTGTTTCGCCCTCTATTTTTACCCCCCCCCCATCTCCCTGTTCTTTGGCTCCTGGGCCTTCGCCTCTCTGCTCAGGCAGGCAGGAGACGGCCTGGGCTCACGTCTCGGCCGTGATGATCAGAGGTGGGCAGAAGAGCAGAGTCCGGAAAGTGGGGGGGAACGGTGTGACTCGCTCACCCCAGCAGGCAGAGGCCTCCGCACGACAGCCAGGCCAGCGCCCCCGCATTGTGCGAGATGCGCGTCACGATCAGCTTGCTGCAGGATGGGCAGGTCATCTGTACGGGACGGTCATGGAAAAGCACAGGATTCTGGACGTAAACTGCTTGGACGGTGACTGGAGAGACAAGGAGGAAGAGCAGAAAGAACAAATGGCAACTGTCTGCTGCACAACACCCCCCCCAAAAAAGGGGCAGTTCCCCTGAGGTGTTAAAAACTGGCTTTGGAAATGCAACAGGGATTTTTCTTGCATGCTAGAGAGATCCAAGCAGCTCAGAGCTATCAGATTGACTTCTCTTGGGTAAGGTGGAGGAGGCCTTCCCCATCCATCAGAGAAATGAAGAGCTCAAAGAGACCTTATGACTGATCGGGTCCAGCCCCTGTCCAGGAGGCCCAGGGGTGGAATTGAACTCCCAACCTCTCTGGCTCTGTGGACAGAGACTTAAACCCCTAAACTATCCAACCAGCTAATCATCTCAGAACAGAACAGTTGGATGGGACCCTCTGGATCATCTGGTCCATCCCCTGTTAAGGAGGCCCGGTGGGGGAATCGAACTCCCAACCTCTCTGGCTCTGGGGCCAGATGGCTGAACCCCTGAGCTATCCAGCAGTGCCTCATAAGGGAAGGGAGGGAAATGAGTCTCCAGGCGCAGCCCTGTTGCTGAAGCTAAGCAGGTTCCGGGGTGGTTTAGACCTGGAGGGGAGATCCACTGGGAAGACCCACCCAAGCCAACGCCCTGAATTCCAGGAACGTGCCACGAGCATCATTTTAGGACTTACCAGGGGGAGCTCCTGGCATGGGGCCAGGTTGAGGCGGATAAGGTTGGGTGGGGTATGGTGGCACCTGCCCCCCTTTTGTCGCTGGCCCAGTCCCGTACCCGGGCACAGGGTAAGGGTAAGGCGCCGAATTGTTGAACCCCGTGGTCTCTTCATACGAAGGGGGTGCCATCGCCGGGTGGTTGGGAGCTGATGGGGCAGACATTTTTTCCTGGGGGGGGAGTGAGACAGAGAACAGGGGGGCTGGTTAGGAAAAGAGGTACTCTGTGAGCCGGCGTGACATGGCAGACAGCAAGTAAGCGGAAGGCCTGGGTTCAAATCCTTGTAGGCCAATGAAACTCATTGTGGGGTGACACTGATCATTCAAAACTCTACTTGGGTCATTGCAAGTCAGAAATAACGGCACAGCACAGGAAACATGGGTCCCAAGAAGACAGTACATGCTTCCCCCCATCATAACAGCTTTGTCAGAAACCCCTCCAAAACCAGAGAAAGCCTAAAGCTCCCTTCTGTCTGTCTCAGGTCTCACGCCATGTTTTTCTTTTTAAAAAGGATCCCCCCCCCAATGAATGCTTCACCCCCTGTGGGCACCTTCCACTCCTTCCGAGCCGTTTTGAAAAAGGGCTCATATCCTCGGGGGGGGGGGCAAAGGGTCAGGAGGGGAAGAAGGAAGAACCAGACCAACCCCCTGCCCAATCCACTGCCTTAAGACAAGGGATCCGCTCAGGCTGGCGTGCGTATCACGCGCATGGACGTCGGAACCGCCTCGCAGGGACCCTCACCAGGGCTTCCAAGGTTTCCTGAGGACCTCTCTCCGCATGGAGCAGGGATTCGAACCCAGGCCTCCCGGGTCCTGGTCCCTCACTCCATCCCCGACACCACGCTGGGTACTGCTAAAGCCAGCCACCACGTCTGAACGGGGTTCCTGCCTCTTCAACCTGCTTCCTGCCGCAATCTCCAGAAGGCAGCCTCTCGCCCCCGCGCCAGCCACTTCCCCCGGACAGGGTGGGGATGCAATGGGTTGATGATTAACGGAGGGCTCCGAGGGAGAGGGACTCCCGCCCGCCCATCCACGCTTTGCCCCCGCTGCCACCAGGGAGGGGAAGGGAGCAGGCAGCCCTGGGTGGCATGACGAGGGCTAAAGTCCTCGGTAGGGAGAAAGGCCGGGTAGAAATCAAAGGGAAGACCTCAAATCCCATCCAATCTCTTCCGCCATAGCGGACGGCCGTGGGCCCTCTGACCTCCAGCCATGGCCTCGTCTGGTAAGCCCACCAAGAGAGATTAAACCCCCCCCCAAAATTCTCCTTCCACGTTGCCTCACCAGGCCTACAGACTGTATCACAAGATAGACTGCTCCTGCACATGGAAGTTCCATTGTGCTAGCACGACCCGCACAAAATTCCAGAATTTTCTTCCCCCGATGATAACACACCGTGCCCCACTCCCCCTTACCCAACTCTGCCAGCATGGGGGATTCCAGGAACTGTGGTCTTGCCCTCTGAGTCACCTTTTCCAAACACCAGGTTAATAGCTAGACCTGTCTCTCCAGCTAAATCTCTCTCTCTCTCTCTCACGCACACACCCACTTCTCATCCTATCCTATGGATTTCTCTAATCCTTTCCCCAAAAGCTCCTCGGTCCAGTGGCAAGGAGTTCCCCGAGTTAAGATCTGGAAAGCCTGAACAGCAACCTCCACATCCAAGACCGGCTTCACCCACTGACACTGACTATGTCTCGAGCTTATTTTTGCCGCATCGGCCAGTCTAGAGTTTCAACTCCCTCTCTGTATTACTATTCTTAGTCCCCTCAAGGTATTATTATCCCAGCTGTGGATGTTAGCCTGTCACCCCATCGTGACGAGACTGCTGGTCGTCGCTGTTGATGCTGCCGTTTTCTAGGCGGCCAGCCGGGAAGTGACCACAGGCACCCAATGTTTGGGATTTAACTTTAGAAACACCAACAGGCATGACTTCACCCCCACTGTTCTCCTCTTCACCAAGAAGTGTGCCTTCAGCCTCTTCGTATTTATTTAAAATAGAATTCGCCTACCTACCTCCTACCTCCTTGGCAGGCTGAGACAGCCAGTTCCTGTTTTCACCTGGAATCAAAGAGGGTTTCCCCACACACGTTTCAGCATCGTCTACCAGAAAAGCGCACGGCCCATCCGGGTGACCCAGCCTGGCCTCGCGAGAAAGCCGCGACACGCCGTGCGGCTGGCTGCTGAGCGGACTTCAGCCTGCCAGGCCGCAGGCAAGGCCAGGAAGGAAGAGTTTGCCACCCCCAAAGACGGTGTGGGGCCTCCTCCCTGTCTGCCGTGCCCGGCGGCAGACACCCTGCGCCTCCTGCTATTCGGGGAAGGGCCTTTACAGGTCCCTTCGCTCCACGAAAGCCACGGTTTTCGAACGAGCGACGCGGCTCGGCTGAGCCAAAAGGGTGGGTCAGGGGGTTTGCGCCCGTTTCTAAACTGCCATGGGTTTCCCAGGCACAAAAGAGGCTTTTTTGGGGGGGGGATGAATGCCACAGTGTCTGTCTTTGCAACAAATGCAGGAGGATGGAGTCAACGCGTACCAGAGAGCGCACGCCTCTGGCTTGACAATAACCCAGTGACTGGAGTGAGGGCACCGCGGGCACCAGGCAGGCCATTCCGGGCAAGGCCCTCCTCACCCCCCTCCGCATCTCCTTCTGGAGGGCTACAGAGCCCAGGCCAAAGATTCTCTTTCAATGTGCAATATGTTCCCTGGGTGCAAGGGAGAACCAGACAAGGGGAATCAGCTTGCCAAACTGTAGCTCACTCTGCTTCAGCAATTCGCAAAACAAGACACCTTTTAAATATATATACAGATTCCAAAACAAACATCAACACAGCTATTAGGCTGGAGGTATTTGGCCTCCGTGTGCTCTGGATTTGCACTGATCTGCACATTTGCTGTGCTCCGGAACCAGACATTCCCCTTTCATCCAGGCCACGTGTGAACCATCCCGAATCACGTCGGTTCGGTTCAGAATTAGCGAATTCTCTACCTTCGCCCCACGGTTCCTAGCAAACGAAACTCTCCACCTCCCACGCCCTATCCGATTGCAGACAGAGCAACGGAAAACCTTTCGCCCCTTCGCAACAGGCCCGTTTTAACGCTGCAGCGAGGGAAGGAATGAACACACAAACCCCTATGTTTCTCTGCAGATGATGGTGATGATGATGTTTATGTAACTGAAGAAGGCACAGAGTGCCCTTTCAGGTACACCTGTAGCTTCTCAGTGTTGACTGTGATGGAGAAGGCTTGCCGACAGAACTTCTTGCCATGAACCTCAATTCTCTTCTTATGCATCAATCTACGGTGTCTTATCAGAAGCCATGCATGCAAACCCGCAAATATATTATGGAAATATGGTTGGAGCCTCTTAGTAATGTGTTTCAACTGATGTTAAATTTTTAATAGTTTGTCTTCTTTCAGATTCCATTTCTCAATGTCTCCCTTCTATAAGCTAAGAGCGAGTGGGATGATGATCATTCAGAAATAAATAAACAATGCAACGGGTGGACGCAACACAACTCAGGGGCAAAAAGACCAGGTTTGCCTGCATGACGAGGGCCAGATTCAGCTCCTGGCATAGCAAAACATCTCCAATCTAACCTTTCTTTCAACCACAAACACCCCCCCCCATTATCTCAACATGTTAACGGCCTATTGAAATAAAACTTTGGTCCCCTGAAAATGGCAAAGCTCGTGAATTCTTCAAAACGCATTTTCAGCTGCATTTATTTTCATTAAGCTGGAATATTCCAACTCACTTTGACTTAAAAAAACAATGAAGCCCTATGTACCTTTCCTATTTAGAGGGACAAAATACCAGCATCTCAGGGTCTTAAATTAAATGCAAGGAAATAAAACCCAAAACAAGCTTTAAATAAATATCAATTGTAGTTAGAATGATTCTCTGTACTAATGCAACCATTTTTACTGGGGTTGACCTTTCAACCACCAGTTCTAGGCCAAAGAAGTACCTCTGCCTTGTTTGTGTTAACGGGAATATCTGAAATTCTTTCAGAGGCAAGACCAATACAAACAATGTTTCTTCTAACCACAGAAGGAATATTTAAGATTTCTGAAGCTTGCATGTGTTTTGCTCGACAAGGTGATTTCAGTAAGTTTGTCCTTCCTGGGAGTGTGTGTGGCTGAAATTGAGCACAAGTTCCTGGTTCTGATGTATTTCTGCATTTTCCCTTCCTGCTTCTCAACCACCTGACTTGCTTGGAAACCACAAGAAGGATGGTCTGGTTTTACCCTTGGAACTCCCCTCCACTGGAACCAGGCACAGCTCAGATCAAAACAGAAAAATGGGGACAGAGAGAGAGATTGGAAAGCCTCCAACCCAGTGGGGGACCTATATTTTGGGGGGCCCTGATGCATGCTGTTATGGGGGCTTCTACCCAACCAGCAAAGAGATATGGGTCATCAACCCCCGTTCTCCTCTTCAAGGGGCTCCTTCCACAACGCCACCATTTCTTAAAAAACCAGGAACTAAAGTTGCTTCTGGGACCTCTCCTGGATGGGGGGAGGGCTGAAGCTTAAGTTCCATGAGTTTCATGACAGGGCCAACCCTGCCCCATTGTGAAAGTGAGTTTTCCAAACCCCGGGGAGAGAAAAAAACCCACCACTTCCTCCATGGCGGGCTGTAAAAGTTGCCACTACTTCCTGCTCCCACACACTCTGCAAATATGAACAGCAACGAAGGAAACAAACAAAGAAAAGGCTGTGGAGGATGCCAGTTGGGCCCAGAAGCTTGCCTCGGTGGGGCGGGGCAGAATCAGCAAGCCCATGTTGCTCTGCCCCAGCTGGGAAAGCAAAACTGGTCTTCCTTTCTCCCCCTTTGTTTCCCTCCTATCTTTAACCTTCTTCCTCATCTGGGAATTCCCAAGCAAGCTGCAGGGATTTTTTTCTGGGGGGGGGGAAGGGGGTCCCCCATCTGCAGACTGCCCCTCCCTCTAAATTCGGCCAGTTCTGTCCCCCCCCCCCAAAGCCATTGGACCAGGAACAACGTTAAGGGAGAGGCACAGACACCTGCAGTTAATTCTCCGGGGGCAACGACGCCAGCAGCCGGATCCCACCGAATTCTGCATCTCTAGATCCATCAGGAGGTGTCGTCTTTCACTCCCTTTCCTTGCTTCCTTCCCCCCATCCCAAAGCCAAGCTCCCGAGGAAGCGCTTTTCCAGGCATCTTTGCAGGGGGGGGGGAATCCCCACGCTTTTCGGGATGCGTAGGGGGCTTTAAAAAACAGATTTTTTTGGGAGGAGAGAGCTTTCGTTTGGGAGGGGAGAGCTTTCCAACTCCCCTGCGGCTGAGGATGCTGGGCACTGTAGTCCAAAGCGCAAAACGCCCCCCCTTTCCTCCCCCCCCCCGCAAAACAACACACGCTCCCACGACCTCCTTGCGAGTC